AAATTGTAAGGGTAATATCCTAGGATTTTTTTTTGATTTGAGTGGTATTTTAAGATAAAGATTTATGGATTAATTGGGTTTTTAGTACATTTTTAAAACATAATTATAGAAGTAGTACATTTACTATTCATTATTAGCAAACTAATACATTTTTACTATTTGGACACTATTTAGACACTATTAAAAACCCCCTTAAATCTAATAACTAAAAATATTCATCAAAATATATTTGTTTTCTATAAAATTTCAATTACACAAAAATCTGTATTTTTTTCTCTATAATTTGATATGCATTTAAAAAAAAAAATTCCATATATTTTTCAAACAAATTTTGATACGTCCTGCTATCCTTATGTACAGTTGTGTGTCGATGTACGGAAAATCATCCGTACAGCGGTCTATATATACGTATAATTATATGTGTACAGATATATTCTGGTCTATATATGTATATTTGTTTATGTGTAAATATGTTTATATGTAGTTGTTTCTCTTTGTACAAATATTTGATGTACAATAATATGTTACTGTACAGTTGTTTGTCTGTACAGATATCTGAAATAGTAAAATTGTACTATTTTGCTAATTGTGAATAGTAAAAGTACTATCTTTATAATTATTTTTCAAAAACGTACTAGTTTGCCAACACACCCAATATTTATTTGGTTTCTGTTTGTATCGTTAAGATTTCGGTTAGAAAGGAATTATTAGTTTAAATTTTTTAGAACCAAGTGCTTTATTTTTATTTATTTTGTTAAATATAAGCAAGTATTTCGCCGACCCCATTTGATCCGGTCTTTGTCAACATTTAATTAGGATCTATATACTTTAAAAGAAAAGGGTGCTTTATGTCTTAATTTTAGTTTTTTTTTAAAAACTAGTTGCTCAAAAAAAAAAAACTAGTTGTTACTATTTGGATTTAAAATCTACAATACTCTGATCAGTTCGCGTAAAGAAGAAAAAAACTCAATTTAAAACTTATGTGTTCAAATAAAAAAAAATATGAATAACCAACCTGTTTGAGAAATTCATATCACTCAATTTGTTTGGAAATGAACGGGTCATAGATACGACGATTACGACCCCTGCAAGATTGCTGAACAACAACTTTTTTTGTGCTACACATTAAATTGCATGATTAAAATTGGTAGGTTTAGTGAGATATTTTTTACTCAAAGTCTAAAATACAAGATTTTTCCTTAAAAAAATGAAAACACATTCCGAAACTTGTAATTCTACAATGTTTATACATTTGACACACACACGCAAAAACTGTATTAAAAACTCAGTTTTGTAATTTATTAATATTTTTTTGGAACATTGAAAAATAAAACGAATTTAAGTGAATATTCATTTATAAACTTAACTGTCTTGACTTTAAAGTCTTCCTGGGACAATAATTATTTTCTTACTGAAATGACGAAACTAACCCTTATCTACACCGTGAATTACGTGTACAGCTGAGTTGTATCAGGTCATAGATCAAAGTTTAGTTTAGGAAAACCAGAGCAAATAATTTCATGGGCCTTTGTTTTGATCGCAAGGCCACCCATCATGTGGACCAATTTAGACGAGGATGAAGACGGGGTAAAACTGTAATTTTAAAAAGGAGGAGAGAAAAAGGACAAAGCTGACTGTGTGAAAAAGACCGGAAAGGACAAGAATGGGTCAAGAGGACAAAAACAAAACGTTACATCCATGAACGTGTTTACCAAAGATCAATGGACCCTGTCAAATTATTATTTCTATATGTATTTCTTTTTTCTTTGTTACCGTACGTAGTTTCATCGTTTGTTTTGTTCTTTTTATTTTCCAGCCTATCGAACAATGGTCTACAAAAGAAACTGAAACAAAGTCATGGATGTGTGCTGCAAATACATCAGTTTAATTGAGAACTACACATATATTCTATGAAACAGACTTATTAATCCATGCATCTTAAACAATATACAAAAATCGGTATAGTTGTATGTACGTGCACCATTGCCCAAATCAAAGTTTCTTGTTCAGAACCGATCCAAGAGTATTTAGTCATCATCAGATCATGCCAATACATCCATTCTTAATTCTCCACTGGATCGGAGTTTCCTCTTACACTTCGACATCCGTCGGTTCAACATTATGATGGTAGGTTCAAATTTTATATGGCTCATAAAGGAAAAGGCCTCCTAAATTGTGAAAGAACATTTAATTTTGTTTATCAACATTTAACTTATATCAATTGGTCACGCTTTTGGCCGGCCTATAACTGTAACCCCACCACTAAATTACAAGTTCACAAAGACAATGCACTCTCTTTTGCACGTTTTGGAACATAAAAAAAAATGTTATATTCATTTTGAATATTCGCACATAAGTTTTTTTCTTCGGTTGTAATTTGTATAAAAATACTTTAAAAAGCGTTAGGTAGTTCAATTACTTTGAAAGTTTGGAATACATATATACAACATGTCAAAAAACAATAAGAAAATTGTTGGCATGCGTTTAAGCAGTTCATATTAACACAAATGAAATTCTTTTCTATTCTTTCCTGGTTTGGGTGCGAATGGCCAACTAGATTCTTCTATATTGTTACGCCCATCATAAATTTTTAATATTCAAATTGATCTACTTAAGAAGATTTTAATCCCAAATTATTGCTGAAGTTAACAAAGAGCTGATATTTCACAACCTGATCGATCTGGTTCCGTAGTTAGCTGCTTATAGGGTTTGGTACCACATAATCACATATCGGAAAAGTTTATAGCTAATTTCTCTTTCTTAAACTGTATGTAATACACACACATATTCAGACTTAGACTTAGTTGGGTCTTTTTTTTTTTTTAATAATCTTTCTAGCTACGCTAATTAATATCCACAATTCCTCTTTATAAAAACATCCACATATCTTTCCCACTACTTTTTAAGAACGTTGCATGAGAATATATTTTGTCCATTGATATCCGGCGCAAAGTTTAATTTCTTTTAAAATTCTTTCACAAAAATGTTAATAGTAAGTGATATTTATTTCCAAACTTGCAAACCAATCGTAGACATATAATATAACATATATATGTGTCGGCTTCAACATTTGTTTTGCAGAATATATATGTCAATATTATTGTTAGATAAAATACACAAATTAGAAAAGAGTTGATTGAGATTAGTTATTGACTAAATCACAAGGACTGCTACGCTAGCAGACTTTATCTTCATGTCCATTTGACTTGATCTTCATCGTCTTCATTAATTTTCTCTGTTGAATTATTCCCCCTTTCAAAGGAAATGAAATGTTTTACTTAAATTCCGATTAATATTATAAAGCTATATGTTTCGACAGCCTAGCTAGTGCCAAAGAGGCTATCACATCTTGTTAAAGCCAAGCATTATATATCAATTAATTTCTTTATTTTTAATGATATTCAAATTAGCAAAACGAAGATACAAAGATTCAAAATTACTGCAACGACTAACGAAAGGTTCGTAAGATTATAAACCAAATGTTTAGATATTGTGTCATTTTGTATAAAGATAGAGAGAGAGAGAGAGATATAGTGATGCTGGTGATATATTCCATGGAAAATAGTTTTATATGACTGAACTGATTAATCGTTGTAGAAATTGTCACACATATATATATATATACCATGTAATAATATTCATTCTCAAGCCAAAACCATACTATTCATGAGTTCAACGAAAAAGACATTTTAGTTAGACTATTTTAATGTTTTTTTTTAATTAACAGTGGATGTGTCTGTATCTAGAATTGAAACTAAAATTAATTTAGAAGTTTAGTTACCCTAAAAAACTAGTGGTCTTTTTATTTTCTTATAAGTTGAGATTCTCTGATGAACTATAAGATCTGTAACCTAACTTTGTCTAAAATAAAATTAACTGACTCAATATATATATATTTTTTTCTAACAATAATAATAATATACATTCATAAGCAGCCAAGTGAGAGTATACAATCAATTAACAATTAACTTATTTAATATCTTTTGGGTCACTATCTAAAAATATCGATCTAGGCAACTTTATGAGAGTAGAGTAGAAAGTACCATAATCTTAAAAGATTATATTTTTAAGTGAGTGGGCATTTTTAGTTAACCAACCCAGCCTATATATAACTCTAGTCAATATATATACACATTGCACATTGATCGGAGGCTTGACCCTGAAATTATGTTGACCAAACCAAATCTGACTGATATGACGGCGATGGCTAAGGCTGACAGAATTAGACATTCCCCCAGTGATCGTGAGGAGTTTACGTTGAATTCGTATTCTACCATATTTTTTATCAACTTAAGATTTGAAAAGATGCGACTTCAGCATAAATAAATAGATAAGCTGCAGCCAAAAATTTTGTATATCCAAAGTGTGTGTGTTTGGTGTATACTATTAATCAAAACTAAATATTTGACTCGGAAACAATAGAGAAGAAGACTTAAGGTGTCTAAATCTTCCATTAGGAAACAAGAGTAATAAACAAGGGATCAAAAGGCACTTTAAAGAATAATAATATAAGTTCTTGAGCATGTTTAAGTCTGTTATCTATATAAACTTTCTGCTAAATATGAGATATACACTAAATCGTATTTGTATAATAGTTTAACGAGGAAGAAAATTTTGGCAATGCTATTTAAATATCTCAAGTACCTTTTAACGATTAGTGGAAAGTATATATATATAATTTTGTTTTTAGTAAAAGCTAATAGTAATGGATTTTGTTTGTCAGTATTAGCAACGAAATTTAAAGGTCGGAGAAGGATTAGTTGGCCTTAATCGAGGTCAAGGGACAGATAATTCATATTACCATCTCAAATGCGAAAGTCATAAGACTTTACAGACATGCACATCTCGTTTATATCATGTGTGTGCGAATGTCGTTTTCGTGGCATTTGATCCATATCCATCAAGATGATAGTTCAGCTTAGTCCAATCCGATAGGAAAATATTTAAAGAGAAATTTGCAAAGATCATTTTTTTTTGTTTTTTTCCTTTTCTTATCTTTGTACAATTGAACTGTCCATTTATTAAAAATGAAGGATGCTAAAGTTCATAACATGAATCAATTACAAGAAGAATAAGAAACATTACACCTACAAAGGATAAACATAGTTCATCATCATCGCATCAATTCCATGAATACAAAGCCATTCCACAAGCTATGCAACAGCATCGACGGTAACAAGTTCCTTGATCTTGCAAATATCAAACCCAAAACCACTCCGAGGAACACTAATGGCAACATCCTCTGCACATTGAAATGTGCCAGAGCAAACGCAACTGAACTCACAAGAATCGCACACCAAACTGGCATGTACCTAGTCAGAGATGGTAACAGGAACCCTCTGAACACTATCTCTTCCCAAACTGGTGCACAAATTGATACCACAACAGCATACAGTGCCATTGCCACAGGGTCTCTAGCCATTATCGACTGCTCCACACTTGAGAGTGAGACCGGACTTGAGGTTGGTGGGAGTGGCAAAAGATTGAGGTTTAATTGTGATAGACGGTTAACGAAAGGGAACATGAAACAGCCTATGATAACATCTAGTTGCCAGTTTCCTTTGAGGGTAAAGCGGAACCAATCGCTTGCAAGAGGACGGAACATGGAGAGACAACGGTGGAGGATAGCAATCCCGGCTAGGCCTTCTGTTACATCGGTTATCAGACTGAACAAAGCTTGCCCTCTAAATGTTAGAGATTCTTTGTGGAAACCTGATATATGAGCCATGAATGGGATCATCCATGAACCAATGAACCAGAAAGCAGCTACCCACAGAAGCATTACCTGAAAAAAAATTATGTTAGGGGCACAACATAACCACAAAATTAACCTAGGAAATAATCTGGACGCAACAGGTGAAACTGAAAGTTTTGATATATAACTCATTTCTCATTATCGTTTCTTTTGCATCTTCTTTATGAACCAAGCCATTTATAATACAAATAGGTTGAAGTTATCTCGTTTCAACAACCTATATCTCTTTACTATAGGCTAAAGAGGTAAGACATGTATTCCATAGTTTCTACGTCAAAAATATTTGCCCACATTTAAATAATTAAATGTCTCTACCTTTCTTACACAGACTCAATATCCATAACACTCCACTCATTCATATACACTCTTATCAGATAATCCAGTGCATATTCTAGATAGGTTCATTAATGTTCCTGTTTAAATACGTTTGACTCTGAAATGGAAATACAAAAGGGGTTGAGTAACATTAAGAAGTAGGTACCTGCACAATGGTCTCGACAGTCCATGGTACCTTCCATCGAGTCCCAATGGCCTTCAAAACTGCATCTGCAGCCTGAAACCCAACAAAACAAATGTGTTAATACCCAGTATAAGAAAAGATTGATAAGCCTTTGTGAGAGTGTCCTTGTTTGCATATCCCCATCACATTAAGCAAAAAGAGAGCCTACGGATACCATCAATTTGATGGCACATTTCCAGATCAAAAGAAACCTTATATTTTTTTTGATAATAATCACAAGTAAACAAACAAACAAAACAGTGGATGATGGATAAATACATAACAACAGTTTACTCCAAAAGATGAGCCTCATCTATAGAGTCTAGACCGTAATATTAAAAAACAGAGACAACAAAAAAGTAGTTCTTCAAGTGCACAAGTATCCTGTAACGTCCAGAGATCATTACCTTTTCAAGAGTGGCCTTCCAATCTTTTCTATCTGTACATGGAGAATCATGATCTGGCTTAACTAATTCCTCAGGCACGAATTGCTCAGGATTCTCGGGAGCAGAATCCTCATTTCTAAAGCAAAAGATCTTCCATTTCTGCAGAAAAGAGCACCAAAGTTTAATACATTGGAGATAAACTATCGATCCTTCATCTGCAATGCAGAAGTCAGCCATTAATCATTTGACACTGCATCAAAGCAGATATAGACTTCTTACTGTAAAGCTCTTCTCATTTACCAATACACATAGCTACTAAACACCTAATCACAAATACTTCTAAACCTCGAAAAACCCAATTCAAAGACAACCCTTTCTCTACTAGTCATAACTCCAGTCAATTCGAAGTTGCATAATTGACTAAATAAGGAGAGAAACGATAGAAAAAGAAGAAGTCGTACGTGCTTGGCGGACTTAGAAGGTGAAACAGCAGTTAAAGGTGAAATCTGGGTGAGAGCAGGAGAGAAGACAGTTCGACAAGGAACCCTAAACTTGGAACGTGAACTAGAGAGCGCTGGGCGATGGCAAAGGAGAGACGAAGAAGAGCAAGGAGAGGTCAACATGGGAATCTGAGTGTTCCAATTCAAACTCAGATTTCAGCTTAAAATCGGTGGAATGAAAGAGAGAGAGAGATGAGAAAGCCCACAGAAAATGCCAACACTGAGGAAACCTAACCAGATATTCTTCTTCTTCTTCTCAGTTTCATCAGAGAAATCGAAAAAACCCTAATAATAATCTGAAAATTGGATTTGGGGGTTTCGTGACCAGAGAGAGAGAGAGATGAGAACGAACCCAATTTTGTGTCTTTCAGTTTTTTTTTTTTGTGTTCTCACCAAAAAAGTTGTTGAATTTTCAACGACAATCATTAACAATCCATCTAAACCGGACTACCGAACAAAACCGATGTTTAAACCGGCATAAAATCAATTATGAATTTTTGTCTTCAAGAACGCAATTTTCTCGGTTTGACCAAAAAACACTAGCTAGTAGCCTAGTACTATAAGTTTAAAACCCAAAACAAAACAAAATAAAATTGTATGATATAAGAAAACAAGAAAATTGTACAGGGCTACACTGGTAGAGAACTTTGGTTTCCTTGCAAGTCGTCATCAGAGTCTTCGGCACAGAAACATACACAGCCACAGCAAAGGGCCATGAACACAATGGAAGAGGGTAACCCGACGTAGAGAGAGAGTATGGGAGAGATACAATTGAGGAGAAAGACGACGAGAGCAATCCCTAAGACATGACTCACGCATTCAACTACGAAGACACCGTAACCTTCGGGTTTCCCGGGATTTGTGGGTGCCTGGAGCCCGACAAAAGTGGCATTGATGTACAAGAATGCCAAAAAAAATCCCAAACATTTTTGGGAGTAGGTCACGGGGATCTTGTTTAGCCTTATGTACAAGAACTCTGCAAGAGCGGCCGACAAGATGAGTATGTGCATGGTTAAGACGTAACGGATTTGCTTCGTGGACCTGCATGCGTGACATATATACCACCACCAAATTAAATAATATAAGATAACATATGCAATCAACCCATGCATTACTTAGTTTGGAAATCAAATTATATAGCTAGCCTACTACACAAAGAAATATAAAATAATAATCAACGATCCACTCACAATTTACATCCAGGTTCAGCCATCGTTTCGCTCTTGTCCATGATGATGAATATGGTACAACCTCTGTAATTACACATATTGTTTAGTCGATACTTGTATATATATATAGTGTACCACGTTCAACATCCTATTCCAACTCGAACTCGGATTTAAAATATGTCTTTTATTTTAATTTAAATTTCAAATATGTTACTTTATATTTATTATAATTTTTTTTAACTACAATATAGAGATCATAATAAAACCTTCATCAAAATAGATACCCTTAGCTTTAAATTAATTCCTTAGTATATATTCCAAGGTGAAAAATCTATTACCATGCATGACACGAGTTAGCTAGAGAAAGTCAAACGGTGAAATAAAAATCTGGTCTCTGTCTCTTACTTCCTCAAATATCGCCATGTCTTCCTCTCATCCATTTCTTGACTCCCAAGAAACACTACAATCTCTCTCCCAAAAAAACAAAAAACAAAAAAAAACAAACCCTAATTCTCTCTTTCTCAAGAAAAAAATCAACTATCTAATGTCTCCTTGATCCATCCCGGTCTCTAGAATAAATCTCTGCAACATTGTATTATTTTTCCCGTTCTCTCGGAATATTTCAGGGATGAGAAGGAGAGATTCATGTTTTCAAGAAACATCATATGTTTCCTTCTTCGTTTTTCTTTCCTTAATCTTACATCAAAATGTAATCTGTCAAGAAGATAGAAGCTTGGATAATCCCGCTGCTAATCGTCTATATAACCAATTCGTCTTTGACAAAATATCGAATCTCACCGAAGTTTTTGAGGATGACATTAAACGAGAACTCGGTTTCTGCATTACCAATGTGTTGGTTTCTTAAAATGTCTCATTGTCATTTACCAATGTGTTAGTTTCTAATGTTATAATGTCTTTTTTTTTTGTTTTTGTGTTTTTTGTGTTGTAGAAAAGAAGATTACAACGAAGCCTTTAATTTCTCTAAAAAGCCAGATTTCTTAAATGCCTGTGGTAAAACCACAAAAGGTATATATGTTTATACATCCTCTGTTTCATTCATACATATCAGAAGAATTTAAAGTAACATTTGTACGCTTTTGTTGATGCTTTTGGATTGAGAATAGGTGACATGCTGCAGAGGATATGTACGGCTGCAGAAGTGAGGATATACTTCAACGGATTATTAGGAGGTGCAAAGAGAGCTACGAATTACTTGAAACCGAACAAGAACTGCAATCTATCTTCATGGATGTCTGGATGTGAACCTGGATGGGCTTGTCGTACTGCTAAAGATGTCAAAGTTGACCTCAAAGACGATAAGAATGTTCCTGAAAGAACTCAGCAATGTGCGCCTTGCTGCGCTGGTTTCTTCTGCCCTCGTGGCATCACCTGCATGATCCGTAAGTTCATATACAATTCAAAACTGATTTTAAGAATCAGTTTTTTTTGTTTGTAATCCATTTCTAATGTTGTCGCCTCCCAATGATATATATATGAAGCTTGTCCTTTGGGAGCTTATTGTCCAGAGGCTAAGCTGAACAGAACAACAGGATTATGCGACCCGTAAGTCTTGTTTTTGCTCAGTTTTCTAAGTTTGTCTTGAACATATGGTAAGATTAGCTGCAGGATTTATTTTCTTGCAGATATCATTACCAGCTTCCTTCTGGACAGCCAAATCATACTTGTGGTGGAGCTGATATTTGGGCTGATATTGTTAGTAGCAGTGAGGTTTTCTGTTCAGCTGGATCGTTTTGTCCTTCCACTATCGACAAGCTTCCTTGTAGTAAAGGGTAACAAACTACGAGTGATTATAACAACTTATTTGAAGATTCATCTTTCTCCAATCAGCTAAACTAGTCTTTGTTTTTCTTTTGTTGCTCCAGACATTACTGTAGGACAGGTTCTACTGCAGAGCTAAGTGAGTGATCTCTTTTGTCCAAACAACTATCGAGAACTAACCTCCAAACTATCAGAGATAGAGAAAGAGAAGAAAAGAAAACTCACGGTCTCTTTTCTCTGATGAATTTACAGATTGTTTTAAGCTGGCAACTTGCAATCCAAGATCAACAAATCAGAATATCACAGCATACGGAATCATGCTTTTTGTGAGTCATGATTGATCTCTCCTTGAACTATTTGCTTCACGTATCTGTTGGTTAATTTTTCCAATTATTTGAGTCTTTGGCTGGTTTCTATGCAGGCTGGGTTAGGTTTCTTGCTCATAATCTTATACAACTGTTCTGATCAAGTGCTTGCGACGAGAGAAAGAAGGCAGGCAAAATCCAGGGAAAAAGCAGTACAAAGTGTGCGGGATTCGCAGTCACGGGAGAAATGGAAATCTGCCAAAGATATTGCAAAGAAGCATGCGACCGAGCTGCAGCAATCGTTTTCCCGAACATTTTCAAGGAGGAAATCCATGAAACAGCCAGATTTGATGAGAGGCTTAAGCCAAGCTAAACCTGGATCAGATGCTGCCTTACCACCAATGCCAGGGAGTAGCGCAGACACAAAAAAGGGAAAGAAAAAGGAAAAGAACAAACTAACAGAGATGTTACATGACATTGAACAAAACCCTGAAGATCCTGAAGGGTTTAATCTTGAGATTGGTGATAAAAACATTAAAAAACATGCTCCAAAAGGCAAGGCCTTGCATACGCAGAGCCAAATGTTCAGATACGCTTATGGCCAGATAGAAAAGGAAAAAGCAATGCAGGAGCAGAACAAGAACTTGACTTTCTCTGGAGTCATCTCCATGGCTAATGATATCGACATACGAAAGAGACCAACGATTGAAGTTGCTTTTAAAGACCTTTCGATCACTCTAAAAGGAAAAAACAAACATCTTCTGAGATGTGTGACTGGAAAACTATCACCTGGACGTGTTTCTGCTGTGATGGGTCCTTCTGGTGCCGGTAAAACCACTTTCCTAACAGCTTTGACAGGCAAAGCACCAGGTTGTACCATGAGTGGAATGATTCTCGTCAATGGAAAGGTTGAATCAATTCAATCCTACAAGAAAATCATAGGTTTTGTCCCTCAGGATGACATAGTCCACGGAAACTTGACAGTGGAGGAGAATCTCTGGTTCAGTGCAAGATGCAGGTATGCCACATTTTGCTTAATGAAATTCAAATTTTCAACATGTTATTCAACTTTATGCCTAAACCATTTATTACTACATACAGGCTGCCTGCGGATCTTCCAAAGCCGGATAAGGTTTTAGTTGTAGAAAGAGTCATTGAGTCACTTGGTCTGCAACATGTTCGAGACTCTCTTGTTGGGACTGTGGAAAAGAGAGGAATCTCTGGAGGTCAGAGGAAAAGAGTCAATGTGGGTCTTGAAATGGTGATGGAACCATCACTTTTAATATTAGACGAACCAACTTCAGGCCTTGACAGTTCATCTTCACAGTTACTTCTAAGAGCTTTACGCCGTGAAGCTCTTGAAGGAGTAAACATCTGTATGGTTGTCCACCAACCCAGGTTCAACATAAACACTCTCCCATTAGCTAATACTAAACAGATTATTAGATCTTATTCTCATTTGCTATTGTCTCTCTGCAGCTATACTCTGTTTCGGATGTTTGATGATCTCATACTTCTGGCAAAAGGTGGACTGATATGTTACCAAGGATCAGTGAAAAAAGTTGAAGAATACTTCTCGAGCCTCGGGATTGTTGTCCCTGAGCGTGTGAATCCTCCTGATTACTACATTGATATATTAGAAGGCATACTAAAGCCAAGCACAAGCTCAGGGGTTACCTATAAACAGCTTCCAGTTAGGTGGATGCTGCATAATGGGTATCCAGTTCCTATGGACATGCTTAAAAGCATTGAAGGTATGGCTTCAGCTTCCGCTGAAAACTCTGCCCATGGAGGAAGCGCTCACGGGAGCGTCGTAGGAGATGACGGAACATCTTTTGCTGGAGAGTTCTGGCAAGATGTCAAGGCAAATGTTGAAATCAAGAAAGATCACTTGCAGAATAACTTCAGCAGTTCAGGTGATTTATCCGAAAGAGAAGTTCCCGGTGTGTATCAGCAATACAGATACTTCTTAGGAAGGTATATCCCCTCAAATACTAGCCATATCAATCAGTTCACAGAGAATCCTTTCTTAAACTCAATGTGTTTTCTTTGCAGGTTAGGTAAACAAAGACTGCGAGAAGCAAGGACACTAGCTGTAGATTACCTAATACTTTTACTTGCTGGTATCTGCCTAGGAACACTTGCTAAAGTGAGCGACGAAACGTTTGGTGCTATGGGATATACATATACAGTCATTGCTGTTTGTAAGTAGAAACTTTTCAAGCTTCTCTGACAACAAGTTTGCCTATTTCTTCAATTTTCACAAAATTTCTTGTTTTTCAGCTCTACTGTGTAAGATTACTGCATTAAGATCTTTCTCTCTGGATAAACTACATTATTGGAGAGAAAGCCGAGCCGGAATGAGCAGCCTGGCTTACTTCCTTGCAAAAGACACAGTTGATCACTTCAACACCATAGTTAAACCGCTTGTTTATTTATCCATGTTCTACTTCTTCAACAATCCAAGATCTACAGTTACAGACAATTATGTTGTCCTAATCTGTCTTGTATACTGTGTGACTGGCATAGCTTATGCCCTGGCCATACTTTTCGAACCTGGTCCAGCTCAACTAGTAAGTATCTAATCGATCATTGAGCATAATACTGATGACAGAACCAAAGACTCAAATAGAAACTTTTAACACACAAATCACGTCTTTTTCTTTTTCGTTGTGCAGTGGTCAGTGTTACTTCCAGTAGTTCTGACTTTAATTGCCACCAGTACAAACGACAACAAAATCGTAGATTCAATCTCAGAGTTGTGCTACACGCGATGGGCTCTAGAAGCATTTGTGGTATCAAATGCTCAAAGGTTGCAAACCTGATCTCTCCCTGTTATAAAGCTCCATTGCAATTATCTCTGCAGTCTTTAGATCAACTTGTTTACTCTTCCGTATATATTTCAGATATAAAGGAGTCTGGCTTATCACTCGGTGTGGATCACTGATGGAGAATGGATACAACATCAAGCACTTTCCTCGTTGCCTCATCTTCCTGACATTAACCGGTATCTTGAGTCGCTGTGCAGCTTTCTTTTGTATGGTAACTTTCCAAAAGAAGTAGCTTTAAGTTTCCAAAACCTCATCCTTCTGTACCTGCAAATCTTGGGAAACTGAAACTACCAATTTCTTCCCTATATGCTACAACTACACGCACACAGGTTTTACTAGAAAGAACAAATCATTTGCAGAAGATAATAGCCCAGCACGCTGTTCATAGGTAGTTCCATCATCAGAGTTTAAGATTTCTACCTGTAATTCTTCATGTTGTACATCTTTCAATTGCTTTAGTTATAACATAGATTATCACCTGTTTCCTATCGATTCCATTTTATCACCAAGTAAACATGTAGAAGTATATAGAAAAACAATGAGAAAACCTCATAGAACTTCCATTAATTTCCTGGCGTAAGGTTAATACATGTTAATTTGTTTTCCTCTCATCAGCTAGAATTTCATATCTTAAGGCAGCAGAAGAATTTAACTTATTGTTACTCACTGGAAATGAAAGATGAACACTAATTTTCTTATCTCCAAATGTGATCACCCATGAACTTAAGTGCAGGGACACCTCTTATCTCTGCGTCTAGCAATGGGGATTGTATCAATTTTAACCCACAAAGTTCTGTATCGTTCTGAATAAGTCCAAGGACACGCGTTTGTTCCTGAAATATCAAGAACGATATCACATTGTAGGTACAAGCAATGGCTATACCTATCAGAATTATTAAGCTTGCTTGCATAATGTTAAGTCTAGTTACCTTTCGTCTCATCGAGCAAAATTTGCAGTCGGATTCAGATTGAGGTAGAAGCTGATTAACAATAAGCCTGTGAACTGGCACATTTTCTTTTTTTAAAGATGCATGTAACCTTGAAGACTCGTTTATTGCCATCACCTAAAACAAAATATAATAACCCAGTCATGAATTTGTAACCAAATAAATCTCCTGATCTCAAGAAGGTGACCCAAATTCTATTCAAATCATACTTAGGCTGTAGAAGAACAAATTTACAAGAGCATCTACAAGCTAACTCTTAATATAAAAATCTTTTATCTTTATGAACAAGTAAAAGAATGGTGTTACCGTTGGGATGGTCACAATGACAAACTCGGTAGTGTTAACATCACGGAAAACATTTCGAACTTTCTCCATTCTCTCTTTCAGTTGGTCTAACTCGTTAGGCTGTTAAAACAATGATTAGAGTCAATGATGTTTAGAATTTGAGAGAAGGTGAAGGGGAAGTAATGGCCTAACTGTTCACATGAAAAAACCTCTACTTACAGGTTCTTGTTGTTGTATCTCTTTTTTGCCAAAGACCGACTTAAAGGCTGAAGCTGCTGCAGTGATCTTCTTCTTGAGCTAAATAATAAAATAATCCATTTAGATAAAAGTACGCAAAGCATATAAACTGTGTAAGCAAACAACAACTGAAGCTAGATTTCATCCTCAAACCTTTGTTATTTTGCTAATGGATGAATCATAGAAGTCTGGTAGGGAAAGAAGCCGCAGAGTATGTCCCTGCAAGAATTTTTTTGGAATTAACCAGAGTTAACAAATAAAGCATACTCTAGGACTCTAACAAAGACAGAAAGCAAAGTACTAACCGTAGGAGCAGTATCAAAAACTATACGAGTGAACCTATTGTATTCTGGTGACTCCATAAATTGAAGGACCTGCAATGAAATCTCAATAAGCAATTTATATTAAAAATTTCTCATTCCAGGGGAATTCTGGGGGGAAACCATACGTGCCTTGGAAATAGCTGCTATTTCGTCAATACCAGGGGAGGCAGCATTGAGCATATCTTCAAGATTTAAGTCCCCTAACTACCAAAAATGAACAACACAACTGAGACATTGATGAAGTTTTTCAATCATAATGGAGGCTTCGAAAATAAACAATATAGATTAGGAAAATGAACCTCGCCAGCAAACATTCCAAGCCCCATGCTATCCATCATATTTTTAACGCTTTTACCGCCTGTCTGACTTTTAATCTCTTCCTTCATTGTCTCAGGTGTTATCTGTCACACATCACAACATGAGAATCAAACTCAGCAACCTGCCAGATATCCAGGAATGTGCAGAGACGCGTAGTTTCTTAATCACCTCAAGAGCTAGAAGTGGAGAATCAACACCTTGAACGGCTTTTAGAACTCCTCCTGACAAATCCTAGATGCCAACACGAGATTTACTGATGGCTGGAAACAGACTTTCAAAGCATAAAAATTGAGAGACTAGTCAGAAGCTGATACCTGGGAAAAAGAATCACTCAAGGAGTGAGCAGGGTCAGTTGAAACCACAATGGTTGGATGACCGTGGCTAGCAAACTTAACCGCAAGAGAAGCAGCACAGCTCGTTTTCCCAACACCTCCTTTACCACCCAGAAGATAATACTTTCGTTGATTCACAGATACCATCTCATCAAAATGGGAAGCTCCTCCAGCAAGAGTAGCTAATGATCTCTCTACAAAAACAAGAGAGAAACCAAAAAAAATCAAATGACAGAACTGTATAGGTGCTGTTGTAACAGAATCCATTGCTTCCATGGATAAAACTGTTTCGGCAAGCTACAGAGCAAGGTGAACACTCTTCACAATGTCATCCAAACAGCAATTAATTTACAGATTCAACTACATGCTTCTCATAATAAACCACAAGTCATCTTTTCACCAATCACTAAAAGAAAGTTCTCATCTTACAACTCCACAGAGAGAGTAAAAACTAAAAAGTCATGTCATCATCACTCCGAGAGGACACAAAGATAAGATATTTTGCAGTTAATAACGTTTCCAATCAACAATAGTTCTTGCAATACAACAGCAAGTCTAACAAGAAACAATCAATTCCAAAACTCAAACTAAAATCGGATCCAAAAACGCATAGTCAACTCTGCGCATAAAGAAAACTTAGCTAAACAAAAAGGGTGGAAGAGACGGTGATGGAAAACTCACAAAGTTCGATTTTTTATTCAATAGAAAGCAACAAAAGAGAGGAAAAAGGATCACCTCGAAGTAGTGTTCCGGAGATACTTCCACCGTGAATTTGAGCATTAAGGGAACTGAAACCTGCGACCCGACGGAGAGTGATTGAGCTGGTAGCTCGAGATACTCGGTTGAGAACAAGTGAAGCCGCCATTGAAGAATTCAGAAGAGAAAAAGGGAAGAACTTTTGCCGGAGAGTGGAACGAAATACCAATCACACTGTTTCAGATGGTGCCGGCGACGGTGGAGGGGTTAGCGAGAGGGTTTTAGGAAATTAAATATCTTTTTGACAAATCGACATATAAAATATCATAGGCTTTTTCTTTTTTCTTTTAAGTATAAAGTATATGTCAAAATTCGAGTGATAAATTTTGTAAATCAAAATTTTAAAAATCAAAAATTAAATACAAAAATATTTGAAATTATGAATATTTGAAAAAAAAAAAAGAGTATGAATATAATCTTCCTTCAAAATAAATAAAAATAACAGAAAGTATTATAAAATCATAATCCAACTTTGTTCATGAATCCATGATGATTAGTGTGAGCTAATTAAACTCATAATCCAAATTGTACTTTAATGGTTAAAAACCATAATCCACCACCACCAACAACCTAATCTTTACGTTCCAACAAAGGTCCATAACAATAATTATAAACCAAAATATGTAATAATGAAAATTGTGTTATGTACATAAAATAAAGAGATGTCCAATATTACTCACCACTCTCTATCTCAATGACGGTTAAGAGCATCAGCTTTGAAAACTGCTTCTCGTCTTCCTTCACCAAACCCTCTCTCACGATCGCCATCGCTCTCTTCTTCATCTTCAAGTCTAAGCCAATAATATTTCTCAAATGTCTCATTCTTCTTCTTCTTCTTCTTCTATTAACCTCCTTCATTACCATTACCTTCCTCCTGACTTCAACCACTCTCTCCGGTTCTGTCTCACTGCTCCATCTTCGTCTCGCTGGTCCAGTCCCGAAGATCACCGTTCCATCTTAGCCATGCCCACCACAACTCTCCCTGGCGGCTCTAGCTCTCCCAGCTTCAATGTCCCTCATAGTGTTGTGAGTTTAACTTTCTTTTTGAATTCCATATATGCTTCGTTCTCATCATGATTCATGCATTCATATGTTAATTAAATTAATAAATTGTTGGCATACAACTTTAATTTATGAATCTTAAATCGAGTGTTTATGACAAAGTATTTGAGTTAATTATAAGGTGACACCTCGGATAAAATAAGATATAAACCGTCGTAAAGCATTTTCATTTACAAAATCAGTACGTACGTGTGGTTGTCTTATGAAAATGGATTGATCGTAGCATTCTTTCACGTTAACCTGATCAGTTGGTTCTGCTTAATTACATTGTTGTATGGATTTGCTGTGTTTTGACCTTTTCTCTCATTTAATTTGTGAAAAAGAAGTATATGGTTTCGCTAATTGAGTTTTTTTTTTCCTTTAAACCTTTTGATGTGTATAGAGGACGAAAAAGCTAAATGGGCAGCAAAAAAAGGAAGAAATAGAGAAAGAGGTATGGGAATCCACTAAAAATTAGCTTTACCTATATCTATATCGTATGTACATATGTCTATGCAAACATCAAGGGATGTTGTTATAAATATACGTGGATCAAGGTGTTTAGAGCTGTACAAATCAAGTTTGCGGTTCAGTTTTATCTTTGGGATTGCGTTACATAAATTAACATGCACCCTTATCATTAACACGCAGGCAAAATATAATGACATACTATGGTATTATTTATCATAATCAACAAGAGACAAAATGACATATATAATATGGTGTTTCTACAATATTTGTAGCTTTTTTTGTTTATAAAACTTGAAGTGAAAAGTGTATTGATTTAATAATAATGGTTAGGTGTGGATGTTACGAGAGATGCTGGATCAAGAAGAAAAGACACGTGAGATATTGGAACAAGTCCAAAAACATCAACTTCCTTCTTCTTCCTCTTCCATTACTCTTCCTTCTTCTCTCCCTCCTAAGGTACCTACATGTTATAATTAGTAATTAACACATACATGCATACGTGTGGTGTGTAATTTCCAAGTTTAGTTAGAGTGAAAAAGCAGCAAACACTTTATAAATATGTTTTTTTTTGGTGTGAACACTTTATAAATATGTTATGATATATAATAAACATCATACACATATTTCTGGTAACGTTGCTTTTAAACCAAGTCTCATGTCACCAAAAATTTAGAATTCTTAACTGGTATGCTATATTTTGTATTTATCAAACAAAATTGTTAGATCCCCTTGCCGGAAAATTAGGCATAATTAATCATAAACAACTAAACAAATAAAGTTTTAGCGAAATTAAGTAAGCCATTTTATTAAGTTGTACCAAAAAAAATTAAATAAGTTAATTAACCTTAATCTAATGCAGATGAAGGAACTAATAACGGAACTATCGATAGTAGAAGGAGAAATCTCAAGACTAGAAGTTCAAATAAGCCATCTTCAGATCAATCTCAAGCAAGAACAAGACGAAACTTTGAAACAAGCTACAACAAGTTCATCAAGACGAGCATGGCAAACTAGTGAGAGTTACGATGACGACAGCATAAGCCCTTATCAAGCTCCAATATTACCAAAACTATACCCTAAGCTCCCACCTCCGAGCCCTATGGTGAACAAAGCCATGATGAAGAGTGAAAACAACAACAACAACAACACTAAAGTTACAACTAGTCATCATCAAGAGAATGCGACATTTGGTACAAAGACGCTGCATTTCATCAACAAGGCTATAAAAGGGGATTACGACAGCTTTCACAAGTCTAACGAGAAAGTTGGAATCGTTGAGAAGGAAAATCACCGGTCAGTCCACCAACATGAAAATAAGCTGCAAGAGAGTAGAAATATGAAGAAGGTTAGGACGATGAAGTCGCCTTCACCTCTACGTGAACCTAGATATGCCTCTCCTAATAAGGTCTGATCATTTTCATATCTATGGTTATATTAATCAAACATATGTTTGCTTCGCTCGATTCAATCTTGAATAATGCTAATGGTATATTTCAGCCTAATAAGGATCGTGTAGCACTTGATACATCATTAGACATGCCACCAAAATCTCTATCGAGCACAATCTTGATGGAAGACGGCCAAAACATACAGAAGTGGCACCCAAATAAGCTCGCCGAGAACATCATGAAGTGTCTCAATTTCATCTACGTTCGCCTGCTCAGAACCACGAGAGTCATGGAGCTAGAGAAAACGGGACCAATCTCGAGATCAACTAATTTCTCGAGCTCAAGAAGCTTTAGGGTCGACAATGCAACCTCAAGCTTGTCTAAATCCATGAATCTTGTGTCTTACAAGGAATCAAGACAACAAGATCCTTATGGAATATTTGATGTAGAAACATCTCTGGCTAGAGACATTGGTCCTTACAAAAATCTTGTTATCTTCACTTCAAGCTCTATGGATTCCAAGTGCATTTCAAGCTCTAGCTCCGTTTCTTTAATCCAAAAACTCAGGTAAGGTTTCCAATACATGAAATCTGAAAGAAAACAAAATATATAGATCTGACAAACGGGTGAAGTAGATATATATTAATCAATGTGGCTAAAATGCAGGGTACTGATGAACAATCTTGAGACAGTGGATCTAAGAGTGTTGAGCCATCAACAAAAGCTAGCATTTTGGATCAACATGTTTAATGCTTGTATTATGCATGTAAATATAAACTCTACTTCTTCATTGATTAATTACAAAAAAAATTTATACACAACTGATCATGTTCATCACTTCCGTATATGACCAGGGATATCTACAACATGGAGTTCCAAAAACAGCTGAGAAATTGCAATCTCTTGTTTACAATAAGGTATATTTTTTATTATTCTCCTTTTCAATCAAGACACTATAATAAATTTAGTAAAAATTTGATATAATGAAAGTATAAATTATAGGCTACAATGAATGTTGGAGGCAAAAACATAAGTGCGTATAGCATTGAGCATTGTATCCTTAGGAAGTCTACAACTTCTACCATGACTCAGGTATATATAAATATCTATCATTATTTAAAAAAATTCCTCTTCATATTGATATTTCTAAGATCAACTTCGTATAGTCAATAATGCAAATGTAACCGTAGGATCGACACGAAGAAATGATTATCCGTAAACTATATGGCGTAGAAGCAACGGATCCTAACATCACATTTGCTCTCTCTTGTGGAACTCGATCATCTCCTGCAGTAAGTTACATATTAATATTATTAATTTTCATGCCTACTTCAAACAAAAAAAAAGTTACATATTAATCCACTTTTAATTCGGCACTCAATCTATAAATCAATCAATTGTTGAATATGTATACTTCAAAGTTCGATCCATTGAACAGTTACTTATAAGTAGTATCGTTCATATACAACATTCCATACAATTTAGAGAGCTTGGCTTATTATTAATAATGGTAAGAGATTAGTAAGATTATTATCATCTTCTTATAGATGATTAGTCCAAAAATTATATGGTATAAAACTAGGGATATGTATATAATTACTATCACGAATGGTTTACTAGTACTATCTCTAAAAAACACTAAAAACTGAAGGTGAGGATATACACTGGCGAAGGAGTGACAACGGAGCTAGAGAAATCGAAGCTGGAGTATCTGCAAGCCTCGGTGGTGGTTACGGCGACCAAACGGATAAGCTTGCCGGAACTTCTAGTGAAACACGCGGCGGACTTCGTGGTTCCGACGGCGAATGGCGGTGGAGAGGTGGAGCAGTTAGGATCTCTGGCGAAATGGGTTTGCAACCAATTACCAACGTCTGGATCACTGAGGAAGTTAATGGTGGAATGTTTTAAGAGTAACACCAAAGCTTCTTCGTCCTCTCCGGTCGTGGAGAAGACCCCTTATGACTTCGAGTTTCAGTATCTTTTAGCCATTTAGAGTATACACTACTACTACTACTACTACTACTAGCTACACTATAATTTTTTATTCGTTTATAATTTGTGAAAATGTTTGTGTGTGTTTTCAAATAAATGTATCAGAGCCTTGTATATTGTTTTGTATGTGAATGTTATACTGATCATGTATATATATGTTTAATCATAAGCATCATACATCTGACATCCAAATGTACTACATTAATTTTGCATATTTAAATGTACTTGACATACTAGACATTTTTTCTTTCTACGTAATGATAAAAACTTCTTTTTTTTTTTAAGTTACAAAACCATCTCTTTACATTTCTCCTGATTATATATCTAGATTTGGATTTATGAACTATTATGGTGTAGTACTTGTCAATATGGGATAAAATAGATATAAGATATAATTGATATTATAAATTAAACGGCTAATATATGTTGTTCTCTTGTTATTCGTTCTCGTGAGTGAATTTGAAGATTTTATTTTTGTAATACTTTAAATTAAAGAAAAAAAAAAGATGAACAACTCTCTATCCTTGACAATGAGCTTCATGTGGGATGTGGCGTTATCCAAAGTAATATTAATAGGTTGCTTTGTTGACCAAATGTTTTATCTTTGACTTCAAACTAAACCATTTGTATAAAAACCATGTTTATACACAATCAGTTTTTTTTTTTTTTAAACATTTACACTGAATATCCTACTAAATAAATAGGCATGTGAAATTATAATCTTTATATAAAAATGGAATCATTTTGATGAACGAACAAAGGAGCTAGTGAGATTGATGACAGCACGTATCTTATGTTGTGTTGATAAAAAGGTGAAGACTTATGTATATAGGTAGAAAGCAAAAATACATAGGGTTATGTTTAAGTTCAAAGAAAACGGCGGCGATCAGAGACAAATCAACTGAAGATTCAGCGCAAACCAATAAGAAACTTTCAGCTTTGACATGTTATCCAAATCCTTTTCAACTTTAACCAATTAAAAACCCAAAAAAAAAAAGCTTAAACCAAGCAAAAAACTAATTAACGTTTGTTCATTTGACATTTCGCTTTCTCAATCGTTGTCTACATATAATCTAAAAATTAATAATGTTTTAATTACAATCTGAAGACTTGAACCAAATTTTGTTCCGGTGGACCAATAACCTATTATATGAAAAGCATCTATTAATATTAATTTAAATTGGAGGTGACATAAGAAGAAGGGAATGATTACTAAATTTACAACAATATAGAGAAGAAAAATAAATAAGGTCACAAGAAACCGTGGATGCAAATAAATGAGACCGTTTTTTAAGGGAGGCTTTTTATGGGTAGTGGCAGATATTTTGACTTTTGGTAGAGTTGCAACTGTGTCTGTGTCTGAGTGTGTGTTTAACATTACGCAATCATCGTTTGGTTGTATACAGCAAAGCAAAGCAAAGCAAAGCAGAGCATTGGTATTTTCTTCAAGACAAAGCATCGTCGTATCTAAACTATCCATTTACGTAATCTGTTTACATCAACAATCCTTTAATTTAGACGATTCATCACACCAATGTGGCCTGTTAGTTCTTTTCTTATACACTCTTTACACACACACACACATACGCATAGTACGTATTACAATGCCGAAAGATATATGTTTTACTCTAACTTCCAGTTTTGTTATGTATATGTAGATTAGTATATGTTCGAATTTTCAGTTGATTAATCAATATACCATGACGTATGATTTTAATAAATAAAATGATATTGGAGAAAATAACATGTTATCATGTAAAATAAATACCATGATATTTTTGAAAAATGCGGAAAAATTTACGTTACTTATGGAAAATAATAGATAGAATTTGGCTATTTAATTATAGAAAAGGACTGTTCACACATTATTAGATATTTTGTTTTGGAAAATGGTTTTCTCCATGAGATATTTTGTTTATAGTTTTTTTTTTTTCCTATGATGGTTGACAACCTGTAATGTATGTAATAGACTACAATTTCAACATGCTCCACCTAATGAATGGGTTCTAATTAAATGGGCTACCAAGTTTTTTTGCTTTATCTTTGTCCCCTCCCCCTCTCCTTTATTTTTCCAACATATCCATCCTCAAAGTCTAAGAGCAAGACCTCAAAATTCATTTTTTCTCTTTCGCTTTTTCTTCTCTTTTTCAACCCAAAACTTAATGCATATCCTTGTCAATGTATAAAAAGAGTTACTACTACTACTACTACTACTACACTTCCATTAAATTTATACCCATACCTTCTTCTCCACACACGCCGCACATAGTTTAAATATTTGTATCAACCGCCCTTCTTTGAAATAGTTTGGTGCATTGGCAGAAAAAACTTACTTTACAGAATTATAAATACCATTGAAATTTAAAATAAATAAAAAAAGCTATGCTAGAATCTACTATAACTTCCAAGATTCCGTTGGACAGTTTACTAAACTTAGGGATTAGATTTTTGTTTTATATACATGCATGTAATTTGGTTTTTCTCTAGAGTAGTGGTTATACTATTTGTTTAGGTAAAAGTAGGTGAACCATCAATCTATGACTCTCTCTCTATTTAAATATTTCCATGGAAAGAGTTCTTGCTTGAAGAACGAAGAGAATCCACTACAATATGTCCTTGTATCCTAAAATTTCCAAATTTCATTTCATTTTGTCATGTTTATGATATGATCAAGAACATTAAACTAATTTGGAAAAGTTTAGCAAGTGAAGGTTGTGTAGTAGTAGATTGTAGAATGCAAGATCGTATGAATTATATTTAATAAAAGTATCTTTGACCAAACACAAAAAAAAACAGTTATTAATAAAAATAGCAATTGCCCAAATTACATGGGTACATGACACATTGAATTGAATAGGTAAATAGTGTAGTTGCTAAAAAAAGTAAATAAGGCAAGGGTATCTAATTTTTTGTAAAGTCAACAACTTACATTAATTTAGCAGATTTGTGTATGCAACAAGACATGCATTGATTAATTTGCCACCTACTTCTACGGCCATGCCTTTAAATCTTACAAGTTTCACGCTAAGCCTTTTTTTTTTGGGGGGTATACGAGAACTAATCAAACGCTAAAATTCTATAATACAAGGAAAAAGTAAAACAATAATTATTCTGTAGAAAATGTATAATATAAGAAAAAACCTTTAAAACAATACTTATATAATTCTACTAGATTATTTTGACAATAAAGATACTGTAATAAATTGACAAAATATGATGTCATATTCGGAAGATAAATAAATGTCAATTGCATAAAATCATTTATTACCCAAAACGATAACGTATAATTCATACGAATCTACCACTACCATAAAGTAAAGCGGCGTAATCAAATCAAAAACCAAATTGGTATGTTTGTACTTAAGAACAACATCTTTTAAAATTTTAAGAAAGGAAATAATAAGTAATAATGAAGAAGAAAGTAAAAGTCGTATCTGACCAAATAAACAAAACAAATTAATAAGGAAACTCTAAAAATCAAAGGTCAAATTTAACTTTGGTATAATCCCAAGTTTTCATGATTAATAACATTGACCAAAGTACCCTTCACTCATCCTCACATAAAAATAAAAATAAAAGGTCAAAAACTTCCCCACCACCGTCTCTCTTCTCTCTCTCTGCGCAGAGAAACTTTGCAATTTGCAGCTCATTCATTCATTTACCCAATCTTCTTCTTCTTCTTCTTCTTCTTCTTCTTCTTCTTCCTCTTCCTCTTAGCTCCCAAAAAACAACATCTACACAATATAACAAAGTGAAAGAGATCCTTATCCTTTTCAGATTCATTCGAAAACAGAGGCCTTTTTTAAAAAAAACTTTCATCATAGGTTGTGGTTTTGGTGCAAATAAAGAAATGGGAAGCAAATGGCGAAAAGCAAAGTTGGCTTTAGGTCTCAATTTATGTCTCTACGTTCCCAAAACGCTTGATGATTCTTCTTCTCCTTCTAGAAGATCAGAAGACGACGCCGCCGTTTCACTTTCTCCTGTTATGGTCCCGACACCCACTACGCCGACTCCTTCGTCCTCTGGTCTCCGATTGCCTCGCTCCATTAGCAAATCCTCTTCAAAGGTTTCTCTTTTACCTTTTTTGGATTCTTCACAATCCTTCAAAACTTACATAAAGTTTCGATTTTTATATATCTCTATGGTTGAATTGAATTTTTTTCATTCCTTGTTTGATATTTTCCTGCCAAATTTTGTGTTTTTTTTTTTACATTAAAAAATGGGGTAAAGTTTGGGTTTTTAGATGATGGGTCACCGTTGGATCGCCGGATCTTTGTGTGGTTCAAATTTGTGATTTGGTTAAGCAGCAAATCCAAGGGCTAATCTTTCTTGGAACTCTAAAAAAATTAGTTTTAATTCACTTTTTTACTAGCTGTTAATTTGTTATCTAATCCTTACTTTATTAGTACTTGTTTAATCTTCAACTAATTTCTCTTTTATCTAAAAAGTGTTTGGATCTTCACGCACATCAAATGATATTAGTAGTTGTTTATTTCTATTTTCATTAGATGTGTTTATTTTTTCAAACTGCTATGACCCTCATATGTTTTGTGTCTATCAACCTAAACTTAATCAATAGGTTTTGTTGTTTTTGAGACTTGCAAGTTTTGACCTTTTTTGGGTTTAAGTAACAATAATGTCTTCTAATAAGGCTGAATAGGGATGAAAATGTTAAATGATTAGTGAGATTAGGATTGTGTAAACGTCTCTCCTCCAAAGCCAACTTTATCACATTATTCGAATCATTATATCTTCATCAAGATTTTGACATTATAGGCTGGCTTAAGATTGGGTTGGGTTCTATTTGTTCTGTCTTTCCCTGGTTTATAGTGTGCCTTTTGTTTCTTTCTCTCCTTTTTTATTTTGTCTTTGAGTGTTATAATTTTTTCTTGGTATTGTTGAAGAAAGATGAACAATTTGTTGTCATGTAATTATCAACTCCCGCAAATGGAGCCACTGTGGGGATAAAGTATTTTTTGACAATAGTCAAGTGCACTTCAGGGACCAATCTTTTTTTATTTTCTCGTTGCTTTTTTTTGCATTCAACTTTTTAATTATTGTTGAAAGATACCCTCGTTAGTATTCTGAATCCACTGTTAATTAGATATTCTCCTTAATCTAGTTAACTGTTATATTCTAGGTAGTTTGGTGGTATAACATTTTACGTAATATTAGTATACACCTAGTTCAACCATAGTTGCAGTTTTTAGAACCTAACCAAGATCCTTGTTTGTTTTAAGCTAACCAATATCTTTGCGATATGAATTATACATTTTGTTTTAATTCTTTTGAAGGCTTACACTTTCTTTAACTTTTGCTTGTTATTTTTTTAAATCCAACTTTAATCTTTCTGGCGTTGAATTTGCCTAGACAGTCTTTTGATTACTCATCTGGTTAAATCAGTTCTTTAACTTTATAAAGCTGTGTCCTTTGTCTTTCCCAATCTTTTGTCCACTGTTCTTTTGATTGTTTGACCTGATAGATTCCAAACTACTTTGATCAAGATTCCAAGATCCATATTCTAACGAATAAACCATCTTTTTTGTCCCAAAATTGTTGAATGATCAAACTACTGAACCTAATTAGTGAGACTTTTTCTTTCTCTTCCAGTTAATAGGAAATGGAAAGATTCCATAATTTTTTTGTTTTGTTTTATGTTTGCTCTTCTTTTTATGTCATCATTCAATAATAGAGGCTTGTAGTAACAGAAACAAATGTGTCAGAGACTATGACACAAACTCACCTATGTCAGGTTTCTTTGGATTCTTGTAATTACGACAATGACCTGTCTAACTCTGTATTACGTGGATTCCAGTTTCTACTCGTAAAGTTTCATTTTTTTTCCTTTCAAACTAATCTTCATCCAGAATCTGAAACCATATGCTTTGTGATTTTGCAGAAAACTTGTGCGATATGTTTGACGGCGATGAAAGCGGGGCAAGGCCACGCAATCTTTACAGCAGAATGCTCTCATTCGTTTCATTTCCAGTGCATCACTACGAATGTCAAACACGGGAACCAGATTTGTCCTGTTTGTCGCGCTAAATGGAATGAGATCCCTCTCCAGAGCTCTAATGCTAAGTCCAAAACTGGTGTCAAACCGGTAAGTCGACCTAGGGACGATGCCTGGATGACAATCCCTCCGCGGAGGTCGTCCCCGATTCAGTCTTCTTCACGGCCTGACAATCTAAGGGTCTCCTCGATCTTTAACACCGAGCCTGCGGTTTTTAATGATGATGAGACTCTGGAACATCAAGACCATTCTGCTGAATCTGGTTTGGAGAAATCTAAACATGGTGTTAGTGGGACATTGGAAGTTAAAACATACCCAGAGATTTCAGAAGTAGCGAGATCGGTTTCGTTTAAGGATTTTGCTGTACTGATCAATCTAAAAGCTCCTTCAAAGTCGTCTTCAAATTCATCTTCTTCTCGGGCTCCTGTGGATCTAGTCACGGTTCTTGATGTGAGCGGAAGCATGGCGGGAACAAAACTGGCGTTGCTGAAACGAGCTATGGGTTTTGTGATTCAGAATCTTGGCCCGTTTGACCGTCTCTCGGTTGTATCATTCTCCTCCACAGCACGCCGTAATTTCCCTCTCCGTCTCATGACTGAGACTGGCAAACAAGAGGCATTGCAAGCAGTTAATTCGTTGGTCTCAAACGGAGGGACTAACATTGCAGAGGGATTGAAGAAAGGTGCTAGAGTTTTGATCGACCGTAGATTCAAGAACCCGGTATCGAGCATCGTGCTCTTGTCTGATGGTCAGGATACATATACCATGACTAGTCCCACTGGTTCCAGAGGGACGGATTACAAAGCCCTTCTTCCTAAAGAGATCAACGGAAACCGGATCCCAGTTCACGCATTCGGGTTTGGTACGGACCATGATGCTTCATCGATGCATTCCATTGCAGAAAACTCCGGAGGTACATTTTCTTTCATAGAGTCTGAGATGGTTATACAAGATGCATTCGCGCAGTGTATTGGAGGTCTCCTCAGCGTTGTGGTTCAAGAGCTATGCGTTATGATCGAGTGCGTTCATACTCTGTTGAGGATTGGATCGGTTAAAGCTGGAAGTTACCAGTTTGATAGAGGTCCGAATTCGAGAACAGGATCTATCGCAGTCGGGGATCTCTATGCAGAGGAAGAGAGGAATTTCTTGGTGAATCTTGATATCCCCAGTGTTGGTGGAGTTTCTGATCTAATGTCGTTACTCAAGGTTCGATGCGTTTACAGAGACCCAGTAACAAAAGAGACCGTTGATTTGAATAATTCCGGTGAAGTACAGATTCTCAGGCCGATTGCGATGGCTGACCGAAGACCTGTGGTGTCAGTTGAAGTTGACAGACAGAGAATCAGAATACGTGCAGCGGAAGCCATCTCCGAAGCTAGAGTATTAGCCGAACGCGGTGATTTGACTGAAGCTGTGTCGGTTCTTGAGACATGCCGTGGGGTACTGACGGAGTCTGTGTCAGGTCGAGCGGAAGATCCATCGTGTGTCACACTGTGTGCAGAGCTAAAGGAGACGCAAGAGAGAATGGCGAGCCGTCAAGTCTACGAGTCTTCGGGTAGGGCTTACGTACTCGCGGGTCTGAGCTCGCACTCGTGGCAGCGAGCTACAGCAAGAGGCGACATGAGTGATTCAACGACGATATCTTACCAGACGCAATCAATGGTGGATATGGTGAATCTATCTCAGACAATGACATTCGGAATGCCTATCGCTAGCTCTAATTCGAGTCCATCGACGCGGAGGAAACTACGGCAAGCTCTCAGTTTCCCAGCGAGGCCAAAGCCAAGGTGATCGCTGGAGGAAGGATATAAAACGGGGATTTTGACATTTATGGATTTTTCAAAATTTCCCCGCGTTATTTTGTTTTCTGCTTTTTCTCTTTTAGAACGTTTTGTTTATCTTCAATTGGGAAGGGTAGTTTACGTTTAATTTCTCAGTTTTGGGGGTATAATTAGTATTTATAGTTTTTGTTGGGGTTGAAAAAAAAGAGGAAAAAGGGAAAAATGTGCTTTAACTGCTGCTTATATAGATAAATATATATATTGGCATTTTTAGCAATTGTTTTTCTTCTTTTCCTTCATTATAATAAATAATTTTGTTAATTCTTTTTGTGTTGTCTACATATATGTGTTTGGTGGGTGTGTATAATATGTGTGTGAGTTGTGATTGTGATAAATATTTAAAATTTATATATACTTTTGCTCCCTAAAAATCTCAAACTATTCTCACTTGTGTTTAGGACTCTTCAAGAAAAGATTGCCGCCATAGCTTCTTCAACTTCGAGAGTATATAATAGCCGTTTTGGTATACCAGTTTATAAACAACATCCGCAATCACTTCACATGTGAGTGTCATCTTCTCTTTACGTTTCTTTCTAAGCAAAACGTTGCTATCAGTTGTTGGGTAATATATGAGATATCCAAATCCAACAATATATAGGCCTTAAATCTTTAAATTAGTGGGCTTGTAAATGCTACTAAAAACTAGTATTGTTCATGCGTTATATCAAAATCGCTCATCATCTATCGTGAATGGACCACGAGAAAATACCAACAACAAAAGAAAAAAGAAAAAAAAAGGTTAACACGACCAAATATCACAAGTCACAAACGTCCTGAATCAATTTTCCACGAACGTCCTGAATTAATATCTTATAATTCACAACACAAACGTATAATATATATTCTTTTTCAGTGCGTATTATTATTATTTTAAAGTTTTGTTTGGTAATTTAAAACTGAAGACTATTAAAAATCGATATGCGACTTGCTTCACGTGCTGAAGCTAGCCTGTGTTTTTGGATCTCAAGATCTTCCTCCAAAATCTCTCACCCCAAGTCAAAGTATTTATATACTTACCACCAAGTAAAAAACTTACACAAACACAAAAACTTGTGTCGGAAAGACTAGAGATATTCCAAAATTTGGATGGTCATGTATACCATGTTGGAGATAATCCTCAATATGAGGTTGTTGGTCGAAAAGGTAAGTTTTATGTTCATTGGAGGACCAGAATGTGACCAAGGACAAACTTATATTAGGTATTTATGCTAAATAATTCAACGACTATATTGAAACTAGCCTAATTTGATGGAACCTTTGGTATGAGCATTGATTGATCAAGTGAGTTTGATATTTATAGTCATACTTTAGACCAATGGGATTTCACGTCGTTAGATTAGTTTTGACCCTCTTAGATGGCGACATCCTATGTTGCACACAAGTGATTATTCTATATTTCTATGTACGATTTTATATTTCTAAATATAGTTAGTCGCAACGCTAAGCATAAGTATATTGTTCTATATCACTTCTTTAATTTGTATATTCCACTGTCTTGTATGGATGGTGTTTGGCTGGTACTTCTTTTTTTTCCAGGCTCGATTTGATACCTATAAGAGGGCATTCTTGCTCGTTCCATATATGATAGCCACCAATGCGAACGTGTATGTTAATGCTTCGTGCATACTATGTTTTACTATTTTTAAGAAGAAAAAGTGGAACAATACTAGTATCATAATCCTGTTTATACTTCGATTCATTCATGTTTAATCAGTTAAACTTAATCGACTAATCATGCTCATTCTTACTATTATTTAGATAGATTCAAAAATGATTTTTCAGAACTCTCTTTTTCGTTACATGCATGATGCATCCATCAACTTGCTTTGGTGGCTTTTTTGTCTGCTGCCAACAGTAATATGTTCTTTTTGTAAGTTTTTCCTTTTTTAGAGATTATTTGTACTTACAAATAAAAGACAAAACAATTCACAATTTTCTTGAGAAGTAACTATTTTTTTTGTTAAATAACAGCTTGTAATTATTGACATCATCAATTAATATTATCTACCCATAAATAATTTACCCTAGACAAACAAGCGCAGACGTTGGTTGCATATGAATCTATATATGATGTGTTGTTCTTGTTAACAACAAGTTGATATCAAACCTCTCAGCAAATTATAATTTAATAATAGAGAGAATTTTATCACCACTTGTACATTGACTTTGAATCAGACATATACATGTTGTATACACACATTAGAAAGTGGTGTACTTGACACTAGGAAGTTGACAAATAGTAAAAGCTAAGTTTGGTGAAGTTCTAATAAGTAATTTACAATAAACATTTGTGTTCATAACTATATGTCGGTCTACATATATTAGGTACAATGAAACAACGAAGCTGCTTGGTCGTGAGAAAAGAGTTGGTTTATGAGAAGTCAAATTACGACTCCTTCGGAAAAAGAAAAATATATTACTACAACAAGTTTCTATTTTTGGAGAGACCGAGCATCATAAATCAATTTCGTTAATTAGAATTCACTTTTATGCCTAGTTTGTCTCCAAACTTAGTTATACCCGCTGCTCAAAATCATCTTGTCTAGTTTCAACGCCAAACATATAAAAGCAAAATTTAATCGTACTAGTTGTAATATGGTGGGTTCTCTTTTTTTTTTTTTGTAGTTTTATGTTCTCCACCAGTAAAATATAAAATGAAATACTTTTTCGTAATTAAATTTCATTTGAAATTTGCAAAAATCACATGGGCAATTAAATGTACGAGAACTTATTTATGAGTAAAAATATAGTCGTAGCTCTAGAAGAAAATAAATCACATGCATTTTCATATTTGAATAATTATTTACTTGTGTGTATAAATGTAATCGCACACGTATTATTGATGTGTTGTGTATATATAAACCTGATGGGTCTAAAGAAGCAATCGACGTCAAATAGAAAAAGGTAGCAATCATGTTCACCATATTGCAATAGTGTGAAGAAGGATAATTATACTCTTAATTAAAGTCACACATGTGTGACCGACCTCAAAAACTCGTAATCAAAGTAACAAAGAACTATTAGTATGAACAAAATAATAGCTTTAATAATAATAATCATGGATTAGAGACTAAGTATTATTTATTTACACAAGATAAAGAGAAAATATACTAATCTTTTTGTACAATCCAAAGAAAACATCATGTCAAAATCCAGCAGCTTGTTATTGTTATTGTTTTGTTGAAATGTACAAGAAGATTAGTATCTTCCTAATTATCACAAAGCCAAAATCCAGAATTTGCTACTGTTTTGTAAATTTTGATCATTTGATCATATACCTTAAGGATGAAAATGTCATTTTTTTCAAAATATGATATCATCTTGCGCTATGAGACAAAGGAATAATCTTAAGTGAAACAAGCACTCATAAGAAATGCAGCATCAAAGAAAGAACTGAACGATCAATTGATGGATGGTGCAAGTGTAATGGGTCATAAGAGCACCAACACCAAAATATAATGTGCCTGAAAAGTCTTTATACAGAGAAAGTGTATGTCTAAAATATCTACATCATGATAATTATCCAAATATAGATAGATATAGAGGAGAACTGAGAATGCAAAGCTATACATTAACTGTAAAAAATCTCTTTATTTAAACTTTTCAAGTACAATAGTTAGTTCAACAAAAACTACTTCGGTTTTAATTAGCAGATCTAAACTCGATTGCACATGGAATTTTTTTTTTATTCATCTAATAAAAAAAATAACTAGGCTCTCAATCCAAAATATACGGGTTTAAGAAAACCATTACAAACCTTTTCTACTTTTTTATTTTTCTTGTTTTTATTGAATTTACATGATACATGAAGCTGTCCAAAATGGAAAAATTCTGGTAAAATGTTCGGCTAAGTTCCAATAATAAAATAAAAAAACCGAGAATAGTAAGATATAACTAAGAAGCTGATACGATATAAGAAGAAAAAAAAAAAGGTGGCAAAATTTGCTGCAAAGTTCAACGACGTATCTTTTATGCAAATTGCAAAGTCAAAACATCGCTTGTCCGAGACATTTGCTATAAAATGTTTTTAAACTCTAAAAAACTTTCAATAACTCATTCTCTACTCAAATCTTTCTTCCTTTCTTTGGATTCTTAGACTCTTTTATACTATTCAAGGAGAGAATCTGTATAACAAGAAATAGTTTAATATATCTTGTGGATCGATTGTTGAAGAAGAAAAGGCTTGATTCTCTCACATTATACGCTCGGCTCGATCGATCCATCATGTACACAAAGGTATTATAATACTTTATGTTCTCCCTTCTCGATTATGCTGCATTCATCTTTACATACACTATAGAACAAACATATATTGAGCACATTAATATTGGTTAAGCTTTTGAACGCTTTTGAGTTTAGTTCATCTTAAACTCTCTTACTCTCTGATTCATATCAAGAAAGTGAACTATATAATTAACTATAAAACTATATATATTGTTCTTCGTCATACGATTATTGTATATATATGCAAGAAAGAAAAAAAAAACATAGCATATGGAAGTGTTAAATGCAAAGGGGTAACCCTTATATACGCCAATGAACCCGGCTTTTTCCGTTGAGTGTTGTCCTAATTTATCCTAATTTATCTTAAAAATAACCTACATATATAATCATATTTTTTCTTGAATAATAGAAAATTAATTTATAAAATCTAAAGGTATCGCGTAACCTTTTTAAATAACATATTTCAACCAATGAATTTTTCATATAAACACTTTACTTTATTCTTAATGAACGTTTACCCCATGTGATATCCCCCTTACGTAATGCTTCTTCACCCACAAAACTCACTTTATATATATAAAATATATGTTTATATGCCTTCTTCATCTCTCTATATATATATATACATTTCTCCAAATAGCTTACAAAGAAAAAACAGCAACTTTTAACGCTACATTCTTATTTCTCTTTCTTTCTCCTATATCTCTCACAATAAGGTTTTGGATTCTGACAAAATGGGTTTTATACGACCACCGGCTGTGAGAAGCGGCGGCGATTATATAGAGAGCATCTTCGGTGAATATTCTTCCGGCAAACCAAAGCCTAGCCGGAAACTCAACTCCGCCAAGTTCGTGACGGCCCTTACGTTTCTTCAGTTCGCATTTGCCGTCTACGCCACCGGACTTCTCTACTACATGAGTCCTTCCATTGACTTAAGGGCCAAGCCTGACTTCACTTGGGCCACTAAATGGGCCCATAACATGCGCAGCTACATCGTCACACCTCACGTCGTCAGCCACTACCAAGACTCTGCCTCTTTCCTCAAATCGGAAGACAGTTTTCCGGCGATGGTTTCTCCGGCGGACGTCTGCGAGTACGAGAAAATCGACTTCTCGCAGAAGAAATCGAACGATCAGCAGATGATCAAGATGAAGAGGGAGCTATACGACGACGTTTTGGGGTTCCAGAGGAAGAATCTTGGGTCTGAGAGTCTAGAAGAGTTGATGAAGATGAAATCTAAATGGGCTTTAAATGGGCCTAATAAACCCAAAGTAACAGTGATACTGAACCATTTCAAGAGGAAAACACTTTGTGCTCAGCTTGATTCGCTCCTCCACCAAACGCTGCCGTTTCACCATGTCTGGGTTTTGGCCTTCGGAAGTCCAAACGAAGCTTCTCTCCGGCGAATCGCCGGGAGTTACAACGACTCTCGAATCAGCTTCATCAGCTCAAATTACGACTTCAAATACTATGGAAGATTCCAGATCGCGCTTCAAACAGAAGCGGATCTGGTTTACATACTCGACGACGATATGATTCCTGGGAAGAAGATGCTTCAGATGCTCGCACACGTCGCCGGAACTGAGAAATACGAAAACTCCGTTTTGGGAAGCATCGGGAGGATTCTGCCTTTCCGGCAAAAGGACTTCACGTTTCCGAGCTATAGGAAGTTTAGATCTAAGGAAGCTGGGCTTTACTTGCCTGATCCGGCTTATGACATCACCTTAGATCGGATTCTTCAGGTTGATTTCTTATCAAGCTCGTGGTTCTTATCGGCGGAGCTCGTGAAAGCCTTGTTCATCGAGAAGCCATTCACATTCTCTACTGGTGAAGATCTTCACCTGAGGTTAGTTTCACGTTCCTCGATCTTCTCGGGAATTTGAAGTTTTTGAGTGTATGATAAGGCAATGTTTGAATTGGTTAATCATAATTAAAACTTTATTTTTCGAAAATGGTGTTCAACTGAATATTAATATATTATAGTATTGTAAAATCTCGTATTAATCATTGTAGTAACGTCTTTAGGATGATGAACTTCATGTGAGTATACAATCACGTGTTTTGTTATACTATGATTATTAATTATATAAAAGAATTAGGTTTTAATAATTCTAAATTTTCTAATGATGAAAGTAAGAAAAAAGGGAACTTTTTTATTTGTTATGAAGTAATAATTGTGGTTTGATTTTTTTTTGTTTTGGTGTGTGTGTTTGCAGTTATCAGCTTCAGAAATACAGGAATGCAGGTTCGTTTGTTCTACCTGTTGATCCAAACGATAAGGAGACATGGGGAGATAGTGAACACAGACTAGCTTATGTGTCTGAGACTACTGTGATTTTCAAAAACATTGTTGAAGTGAGAGACAATCAATGGTGGAAAGCGCTTTCCACTGGTTATATTACTCAGTGGGCTGCGATGCATCCTCAGAAGATCGACGCTTTGTTTTACGCTCATTCCATCGATGAAGTTAAAGCACTTAGTCCTTTGCTTGAGAAGTTCAGAGGCACTGTTGGTAAAAAGGCTTATATCGCGGTATCCGGTGGGAATTTCTGTCCTTGCGAGGATGCGGCCTCGGCTTTGAAGTGGCCTAAGATTGTTTGCAAGGAGAGGAGATTCAAGATTTTTGATTTGGAAGTTGGAGCTATCTTGGGTGTGTCTAACTCAGAGGTGCCTGTTTTCCAAGCTGTGTATTCGAGCATCAAAGGCCTTATTAAGATCCATAACCCAAGCGTGGTGATTACGGTAGCTGATGCTGATCCTAATGTCAAGAAAGCTTTGAAAATGGCTACTGAGACAAATCCTAATGGCACCGCACTGGTTCTTCTCCCGAGAGCTTCTATCTCCAAGGTTCTATGGATGGCTGATCTAAGATCAACCGCATTGCCAAGTAAGTATCATTATCTTTTGCCTTCTGATTTGGCTTTCTCAATTTTGCTTACTCGAGTTGACAACAATTGTTATGATTGCAGACTGGAATAAGATGAGAGTCTCAGTGAATATCATTACACAAAACCGAGCTCAGTCTTTATTAAGATTGCTTAGGTCTTTGAGCAATGCATACTACCTTGGCGACGAGATATCTCTCAGCTTCAACATGGATAGCAAAGTGGATGAAGAGACGATCAAAGTAGTGAGCACGTTTGATTGGCCTCACGGACCAAAAACACTAAGAAGAAGAATCATCCAAGGAGGCCTAATCCGAGCTGTGAGCGAGAGTTGGTATCCAGCTTCTGATGATGACTTTGGTCTCTTGCTTGAAGACGACATTGAGGTCTCTCCTTATTACTTTCTCTGGATCAAATACGCTCTACTGGCTTACCACTATGACCCTCAAGTCTCTTTCCCGGAACTCTCCTCGATCTCTCTTTACACACCCAAAATCGTTGAAGTCGTCAAAGAAAGACCCAAATGGAACCCAACAGATTTCTTCAAACAAATCCATCCACACACACCTTACCTTCATCAATTACCTTGCAGCTGGGGAGCCGTTTTCTTCCCAAAGCAGTGGAGAGAGTTCTACGTCTACATGAACATGAGATTCACTGAGAACGCGAAAGCTAACCCTGTCCAGATTCCGAAATCGAGAACCAACGGTTGGCAAGCTTCTTGGAAGAAATTCTTAATCGACATGATGTACCTTAGAGGATACGTTAGTCTCTACCCAAACTTCCCTAACCAATCAAGCTTCTCAACCAACCACATGGAACCAGGAGCTCACATTGCAGCTAAAGACAATGTGGTGAAACACAACAAAACCGATTTCGAAGTTCCTTTGCTCATGGACGATTTCAGAAACTTCTTACCGAACCAGAAACTCCCTCCGCTTTCTAAGCTTCCGTCACTCAACCTCTTCAACATGCCTGTTTCTCTTAAAGGTCTTAAGGCTGCAGGAGCTAAGCTTGGTCAAGATGTTCTTCGTTGCAACAACGTCTCTGAGATTGTCGCCGTTAACCATCAGACAGGTTTACCGGCTAGATGCATGAAATTCTGAAGATCTTTCTATTAAACGGCCAATACAAAAAAAAAAGTTATTTGGCTGTAATTTTTCTTTCTTACATCTAGCTGTGGATTCTTGTTGATTCTTTGTTTTTTGAATAGTTTATATTACTAAAGGGATAAGATAAATATAGCAAAGGATTTAAAAGTCAAGATGTCAAATGCTAAAGAGAAGATGTTGTAACCTTAGTTTAACTCCCCTTTTGTAACTACAACAAAAATGCTGCACCGTCCCCTTTATATATATATAGAGATTGATCTGTTCTCTTTTTTTTCCTCACTCATTTAAAAGCCAAATACATTATGTCAGAAGAAAAATGAGTAACATTTGATCATAATAAATTAAAAACCAAAACAGAGACACTTCCTAAACAACAACCAAAAAATTGAGTTGTCTAACGAAAATTTTTAATTAGTCTTTCCTTCTAGCAAATGGAATCACACAAAAGACCAGTTTACAAAGGAGAAGGCAAGACAATGCAAATTGTTGTTGTTGTCTTCAGATGCAGCAAACACTTTCCAAGCAACAGCTTGTTCATAACTCACATGTCTTCCCATTGTTGACACACAGATCCCTGAGGGCAAGCATGCAAATCCCTGTAGAGACAAGACAATTCTCAGATAAATGAACTGAAAACATTATCTGCAGATGAGTGAATCTATCCTTTCTTTACCTGTTGCATTAGCTTGGCGAAGTCGGAGCAGAGAGCCTTTCGACCAGATTCATCAAAGATCTTTTCTAGTGTTATATCTTGTAAAGCTACAAGTGTTGTCTCTAGCATGTCTAGACCAGCTTGGTTTGCAAACATGAACACTGGCTGTGGCTGCAACATAACCAGACCACATTATACGTCTAAGACTATAGGTATTCTATACAGAAAACGGAATCAAATTCTAAAAAGAGGATTTAACCGGTTTTAGTTTGGATTAGGATACATACCTTCAAAGAACAACACAATATGGCATCTTGGTGATCCCATAGAAGTTTTAATACCGAGTCGTTGCTTCCGAGTGAGTCAATCGTTAGCAACTCCGAGCCTAAGTGGTGACTGAAAAAGACAAACATATTAACGTAAGAGATCATCGATAAGCTTGGGATTTATAGTTAAACATTAAAACCCACTTGTAACTTTGAGAGATCCACTGGGCAAGAGTAACAGCTTCAGGAGATCCCGGGGACAATTTGGAGCCCAGGCTTGGGCTTATCCCAGATGGTGAAATCGCCATTGCAACACGTTGAACAGATGAAATAACACTCCGCACATACTGACAAGCCATACCGGCAACATTTTCTTGCAGGTTGTTTTCAAAAGGGAACTGGAAAGCGATAGTGAGGATACATCTCGAACTTGAGCTAGAAGAAGTGGAGTTTCCAGAAGCATTCTCTGGTGATGGACCGACTTCAAGGCTAGAAGTTAAGTCTAATGTACGGTGGTTAGCAGTTAACAGATCTTGCGCATCTCCCTGTATGAGGAAGAATATATAAGCCTGAGACAAACCATCTCTAAGTAAGAGAAAAATCAGTGATAGAGGAAAGACAAGTACCGTTTTAGCATCAACAGGTATGACTCTGAAGCCAGAAGGAACAAGTGGAGCATCATCCGGGAACATCTCATTAATCGGAGCAAATATCAGTTCCGAACAAGCTCCAACAGCATTCTCGTCAATCCCAGTACAAATCTACCATACATCATTAAAGTCAGTTTAAATTTGGAATGAGATAAATTTTAAGATCCATTGGGTTAGAACTTAAAATGATTGACCTGAAGGAGATGGACATCCCGGGACATAAATGCATCTTCTTGTGCAAGAGAATGACCTTCTAGTCTGACAACTTCAAGCATCTGAAGCATAACAACACCAAATACGTTAGAGAGAAAACACTAAATGATGTTTTCTCAGCAGGTAAGACTTTGAAGCCTTACTTCTTCATGTTCAATTGTATGCCCTAGTGGCATTATGATCTGACTCCCAGTGAACCTAGTCGGTCTCATTCCTGGATAAGCAAAGGTACCGGCTTTAAGTGTAGCAGCAGAATATGCATCAACATTGAAATCAGCCCACTCGGATCGATGCTCTCTGAGAAACCGGATCAAAACAGCAGGAGGAACATTCTGCAGAAGACAATAAAGAATAAAAATTTCAGCCAGTAAAAATGGACAAAAGGAAAGTACCAGACTATGCACATTAACATACTTGGAGAAGCATTGAAGCCTTGGCACAGAGCACGCCTCCAAGGAACGAAAGAGAATTAGAAATATTATTCAAATGCTTTGTGGAGTTAATGGCAACGATAATATCTTCTGCACCATCACAATGCATTGTAGACCACCCGTCGTCACCAAACCCATTGACCGCATCATTAAAACCCCTGCAAGAAAATCAAGAACAGATAATATGTCAAAAAACCAAACAGAGCAAATAGTAACTAGATTTAAGCTCACGATCGAATTACCTGCTTAATCTTTGGCTAAAGGTTCTAAGAACTGCGGGCTGCCTTCCTAATCCATATACCACTTCACCATTAGACTCTTGCGCTAATTGCCTGATATACCGCAATGCCTAAAACATGAACCAAACCCCAATCATTAGATATGCATATGAACCAGTCATATCTCAAGGTTATTATATACATATTACACTCACGGAAATTGTCATTTTTTGGGCGACCACTTTGGATGACTCATAAAGGGGTCGAAGCACATCCGGAACACTCCAAGCCTATAATGCAAGAACAGAAAATTTTAATTAATATTTAAGAAGACGCAAATACAAAATGTTCTTTTGTAAGGATCTAACTACCTCGAGATTAAGGTGATCCACAATGTGAATAATTGAACCTCCACCATCACAAGGTCTTATCAAATACCCACTAGAAAGCATTTCTGCTCTCACAAACTGAGAAGCTGAAGCAGCGTTAGGCCCAGCTCCAGAGCCAGAAAGTGACCTCTCACAAACCTTTAAATGATACATGAACAATCAATAACCAGCAGTTTTAATGCACTATACAGACACTATGAGAGTTGCATACCACAAAACTGCCATTGTCGAGGCTCGTTGTGTATCTCAGGGTCCAGAAATCGCGGGCAGGAGCCAGAGTCGTTGGTGCATAGGTCTGACCAAAAGGCATTTTTCAATTTTATTCATGCATCTTCAAGTGTTAGAGATAGAAAACTAATCCAAAATAAAGAAAAGCAATTACCTGCATATACACAAGCTCGATTGTACCACCATTACCGGCCGGGAACATAGTGAAAACTTCAAGGCTCCTACAGTCACGGAACCAAGATGGCCGATCTTTGAGGATCTCTGCAATCTGCAAGAAAACAATAAACCTGAAATGGTTAACAAAATTAAACATTTTGACTCGAATCTCTAGGCTTTAGAAAGAGTACCCTTTTCTTACCTTCATCGGTTCTAAACTAACAAGACCACAGGCTCGAGCTGCCACTCCACTGCATCTTTGCGAAATAGCAAAGATGCCAACCGAATCCGGACCAGGCTAAGACACACAACATCAGATTTCACATTTCAATATCAACACAAACAAAACATTAAAGCACATAAGTAACAGTAGGAGATGCATATAACCTTCATCCCAGGCATCTGAACCCAATCAACAGCAGTTCCTGTAGCCTTGGATAGGAACTCTGCCAAAGTCTCCTCTGCGATCGAGAGCAATCTAAGAACAAAACACCAAGTTAATAGGCCAAGACAAAAGATGATACAAAATTCACTACAAAACCAAAACAAGACTTTACCCAGCAGGACTATTTGCATCTCTAAGCGAATGCTGAGGAGTTGTGACCGCAGAATCACAGCTTGCATCGGTCACCTGAAGTTAAAAAACAACAAGCCAATAAATTTATAAATCAAGCTACCTATTGAATAGATAAGACTAACAATTAGTTCTACTGAGAACATATATAAAACGAAGAAAGTTACATACAACAGTTGTTAGCTGCTGCTTCATATAGCCATTTTCGCAAACAAGCTGAGAAACCTGCTTCTGCAGCCTATCATTCTCCTCCATCAACAGTTTATTCATCGCAGAAAGCTTTCGGTTTACGCTCTGAAGCCTGGACGCCTCTTTCCTCTGCTTATCTCGACACCTAAAACCACAAAACAAAACCAATCAGCAAACCTGCTAAGATTAGACATCACACAATTAACCTTATAGCCAAAAGAACAGTAAGACAAGCTAATGAGAGCAGAAAACGAACAACCAAATCTACCAGACATATTCAATGTAAGCCTTTTGTAAAAACAGGAAATTGTGTCGGATAATTGAATCAAACACCAAATCAACAAAAGTGGTCCTTGGTAACCATTGAATATAACACAGATTATAAATCCAAAACAATCAAAGTCCAAATCCCTAATTAAACAAAAAAAGAAGATGTATAAAAATTTATTATAGCCAGAAGAGAGAAGCAAAGAGGGAGAATCAATACCTCCGGTTCTGAAACCAGACTTTGATCTGCTTAGGCTCGATATTAGCCAAAATGGAACATTCACGGATCAACTGTTGTCGCCGGAGAGAGCTAGGCTTAGGACACTCAGCGTAGACACGCTCAAGCGCCTCAACTTGCTCAGCTGTGTACCTAACGTACTTACCGCTACTATCTAAATGTCTATTCATACTGTCACTGCTTCTATCATGGTGGTTAGCCACCGCCATCTCCATTTTTTCTCTCGAGCTTCCAAAGTCTCAAACTTTACTGTTTCGACCTTCTTCTTCTTCTTCTTCTTCTTCTTCTTCTTCTTCTTCTTCTTTTCTCTTTGATTTCTTAGGGAAGTCCGTCGTATGCTTAAGAGAAACGTAAATTGTAATTCTTTTTTTTTGTTTTGGTGTTTTTATTTTCAGACAAAGAAGATTCTATGGTCGTGGCTTGTAGCGAAAGACCAACGACATGTGGAAACGAGAATTTGGAAAAATAAAGGGAAACGAAGAGAAGAAGAGAATACCAAAAAGAAAAGTTAAAAGTTTTTTTTTTTTTTTTTTTTTGGTAAACAGAGAGATTCAGAAGATCTGAGAATTTTAAAGATTCTTCAAGAGAGAAAAAAAAAAAAAAAAAAAAAAAACAGAAGAAGCAACAAGAGAGTTGGATTTTCTGGGAACAGAGAAGACTCAAAACTTTTGATCTAAGGAAGTGATGTCAACTCAAACTTACTTAAAGAAGCATAATATCAGAATTCAGGACACAGAAACACTTGGGAACAATGAATTGATGTAGAAGAAGAAACACATGAACATTAGTACAGTTGAGAGGCTGAAAAGGTTTTTCAAGACTCTGAAGAACAAGAGAGAAAGAAAGAGAGAGTGGGTTATGTGAGAAAGTGAAGAAGATGGAGATGGAGAGAGAGAGAGAGTGATGTGTGTTGTTTTAGCTCTCTGTTGAACTTAGAAACAGAGGGAGAGAGAAGAAGAGGAAGAATAAAAGGGAAGAGAGAGAAATTGTGAAACAGAGGATTTGCACGCAAACCGACAAGCTGTGCATCAGCGAAAAAGAAAAGTGGTGCGTTTTTTTTTAATAATAATATTAATTAATTAATTTAGTAATAAATACTAAATAATACGGCGATCATTTACGAAGTTGTCCCTATTGTTTTCTTGTGAAATGACATTATAGGAACTCCATTTATTTTATCTTTCTGCTTTTGTTCATTTATGGATTAGATCTACTAATTTCTTACAAAGTAAGTTTTTTTTATAACCATCAAGCACAACAGATTAGTAATAAGTTTTGAATTTGTAACTAAATCTATTTTGAAAACTAGAAATTTTAGGGAAGGCTTACAAATGTTCTTATTAAACCATGAAACGTATCATGCATTTCTAGAAAAAAGTATATTTTTAATTTAACGGATATAATTGTTTGAGTAACGTATAATATAAAAGTTAGTCACATGATTCTTGCGAAATCAAAAAAGTAGATAAAATTTCCGAACTTACTTTAGGTAGAAACGATAAATACCACTTTTGAACATCCGTTACAAAAAAATCAAAATGAATCCGAGCAAAATAATGAGAGTATATCTTACAATTCTAAGTTTAAGATTTAAAAAAAACAAAGACTAATAACACCAATTCTCATATGTCCATTGTTTTGTATTTTAGAGTTGTAAAGGTATATTAATGTGTGTGTTTTTATGTTTGGAGATGTATATTAATTGATGAAGAAAAATCTTCCAAAATAACCAATCATACTATATGACCCGAATGAAAACATCGACGAGTAGAATGTAATGTTAAGGAACGACTAATCTTGTCCGATGAAAGTTTTAAATCAATTCATTATAAAAAGGTAAAAGGCAGACTTAGTTATAAGATCTCTGGTCTACTCTTTAAAGTTAGGCTCTTTGAAGCTGTGCTTGTAATTAGTTTAACCAGATGATGTAGTTAAGGATAGTTCGAGTTGCAAAAACCTATAGAATTTAAATTCGACATTATCGGACGCCATAAAAGAAGAAGAAGAGAAGAAATAAGAATGGATGTTATTAGAAAGAAATAAAAGAGAGAGAGAGAGCCTATGATCGTTCTCTGTCTCTGACATAATCATTTTAAACACATCAAGCAATCAAAGTTATGTCTTGTTACAAATCAAAACATCTTCTCTCTCACTAATATATATCCTTTTGTGGGTAGTGCATGTTTTTATTTGTTAGCATGTCTTATCTTCATTTATTATACGACCCAAATTCATATCATCTTACTGTGCAGTGTTTATTGTATTATATGTGATATATCCAAATTTTGCTTAGTTTAATAACCTGCTAAGCTATATACACTGTAGCATCCGCAATATAGTTATTTCCAAATTACATTTACGATCTTATGGAATAGGACCTTGAGTGAAAAATTAAAAGATAACTAGTTCCATATATCTGTTATCTGTAACATATTTTGATGGTAAATTTATATATATATATATATATATATATATATATATATATATATATGTATATATCAAATGAAAAAAGAAAAACATTCTATTCAAAAGATACAGTAGCCAGTAGGTTAGGTTAGGTGTGATAATGTAAAAAGTTAAGAAGTTAAAAGAGGCGTTGGTGGCGGAAAATACTAGTAATCAGAAGACTAGTTATTTAAAAGCCTAAATTAGCTAGTTATTTAGTAGTAGTAGTACTAATTCTGATCTGATTAAAGCATCGATTTCTTATACAATAATATTAAACTTAATTAGCAGCGAATAATAATGAATAGAATGGAAAAGTGAATCAGAAGAAGACAGTGATCAGTCAAACATAGTGTGTGATACGACTAAACCTGTTCGACAATTTTTTTTACTGCCTTTTTACTACACTCATCTGTAAGTGTAATTACTTTCTGTAAGAAACTTTTTCACTTTGCTTTTGGTTCCAAAATTTAATACTACCTTTTTTCTTCTTCTTTTTAAGTAGGTTATAAATTCCACTTGTGTATTTATTTGTTATTAACAATTATAATTTCACCACATGTGATTCGAATTATACGCTCTAAGGTATGTTGAAAAACAAGAATGTTTATTATATAGAATTGTATGCAAACATAAATAAGTCAAAATAGTAAGCAAAAAAAAACATGAATAAATAATATGGCTAAATATCCTTTTTCCTATTTATTTATCTTCTCGAATAAATTAAATTTGTTTTTTTCGACCAACAAATATATTAAATCCTATGATTTAAATAAAAATTTGTTACATATTACAAGATTATTGTTGGTGTTTTTCTTCTTCTTTTTATTTTCATCACTCTTAATACATACATGAGCAAAAACATCATTCCATAATCATCTTTAAATATGCTGCATCAAACGATGCTCCAACACCAAACTACATATAAAAATATATTATTATTTTTTGTAAATAATCTTCAGGAAACAACAACTCTGGTATATATATATAATCTCAAATCATACAATAAGAGAAAAATGTTTCTTTTAGGATAATTTATGGCAAAATACAATTCATGAAATAAGAAGAAGAAGAAATTGCATATTATCACAATAAATCATTAGAAAAATGGTTCCTTAATTCCAGACATGGATGGCGCCTTTCCCTTCAGTCACACATCGCCCACATACATCCACATATTTTTTTATTTTTTAAAAAACAAACACTAAAAACATTTTAGCCACAAATCTATTATATTACAGCTATATAATGAATCTTAATTCTAAACTATACATAGAATACAAATGTGTAACAAATTATCTTAATCATATATATAGACATATACTAATAGTGATAAAAGAAATACTGTGTTTTACGCCACAAAAGCTAATAGAAAAATGCAAGTGAGAAATATATTTTTAGTCTTCAACCATAGCAAACACGTTGGTTTGATAATAAAGATTTCAACTTGCATAGTGTTTTTTTTTTCCTTTTTTTTTACGGGTCATTGAAATTGTTATATTTATTTACTTCTTTTTTTCATCTAATCAGAGTATTCTATAATAGTTACAAAAAATGATAATAAAATAAATAAAAATGAAAAAGTGTGTTTTGATGATGTGGTATTTCCATCAGCTTTTCGCATGCGCCAAAAGTAACTCTCACGTGCTGTCCACACATTTACACCCCATTTTCATCTCTCTCCCTCTCTCTCTTTTTTATTTTTTTTAACAACAATACATTTTAACCAATTTATCATTACATTTTTTTTTGTTAAACTATTATACGTTTCTATAACTAGTATGATCGACGTATCTAGATGCTCCATAATTTTTTCGGTAATAAACAAAAATCACTAAACGATAAGTTTTATCTTTTGTGCTTAGTGATTAAATTATTGTGTAAATGCATTTTTGCTAACCACTACGAAGTTTGGATCAGTTAAATGATATATACTTATGTTAGCGTCATGATACATTAACTACATATTTTTTTTATAAGAGAGAAGACATATGATTATCATCCATCTGATTGTTACTATCATTCATTGATTTTTTTCTATAGCTTTGATTCAAACTTTGAGACATTTGTCGTTGCTAATGACTGATATATAATGATAATATTTCACAATAGTACTATAGTTGTTAGTTTATAGGATATATAGTGACCCTCTGACCCATGTGCTTGATTGTTTCACAAGCGACAAATTAAACAGTTAACATAAATATATATAGTTTAATTTAGAAATTGTATAATCAACTTCTTCTTCTTCTCTTTTTTTAACTTGAGGTTGAATTTAGTCTTTTTGCTCACAATGATTACCTTTTAAAAAAAAAAAAATTAGTGTCTAGTAGTGAAACCATTATTCTATTGTGTAATGTATGTTCTATTCTTTCAATTTTCATTAAAGAAAAGAAGAAGATCATGCGCTATATATATACATATATTCTATATGTATTATTGTGTAACAACAAGACGACAAAAAGAATCTGAAACCTTAAGAAACTGTTAAATCCGGACAATTTGGTTAAAACATTATCCCAGCCAATTTGCAAATGGATATAAATGTAATTATTCGACTGCTTATCTCACCATTCCACCACATTCGGCTACATGCACATATATATATTTTCTATTGTCTCTTTAAGAAAACATATATAGTTAAAAACATTCCTTTGATTAGATACATGACAAAAAATATCTTAAAACACAAGTGACTTGACCACATCAATAAGACAATAACATAAAGAGTTTTACAAATAAATACCCGATGCTAAGCCGTAACATAAATTGAAAAGCCCATCACAAACGACAGTCTCTAACTATCAGCAAAACACAGATTAAACATAAAACACAAGTAAATATTTGTATTTGTTTTTTAGATATCATTAAACTAAAACACCTGATTCAACTTAAAGCTTTTATTACTTTAGATTGATATTTATAGTGTGCGTAAACAAAATAAAGAGAGAGTAAAAAACAGGAAGTGTCTCTCAATATCAAAGTGGTTGCGACAAGTCTTAATTTTGACTATGCACGGAGAAAGAAAAAGAAAAAAACAAAGTGTCTCAATTAATTTCACATTATAGTACAAAACTCAATTATTCACAATTTTTTTTTTTTTCATTCTTGAGATAAACTCCAATTCAGAACCAAAATATAAATCCAAATTAATATATTAGAAAAAGTCAAAATGTCACATTCGTTGTGGCCTTTTTTATATTGTTGGGTGTTCAATATATTATCTTTTGCTTTTATATATTTGTCAAATATATATATACTTTTGTTGATGTTGTTGGTCTTGATGGGATATTAATATTCCTCCACTTTGTCCCCCTCCCAACTTCCCCACCAAAATTTTAACATTTTTTCTCTTCTCTTATTTATTATTATTGTCCACTTTAGTTACCTCCCAATGTAAATTGTTATCGTATTGTTTTCATATACCATATTACCATGAATGGGTAAATGATATGTCGAGATCAAGATCCCATATAATATGATTGAATC